AATATGTTTTGTTCCCTTGCAGTTAATGAAGTTTTCCTAAGGCCTAAAAGGGCCTTGTGAAGAAACAGACCACATCTTGGTTTACAGCATTAGTAAATTTACAGTAATTCACAACAGGAGGGGACTGTTAAAAAAATATTGTGAGGCATTTTGACTGTGCTGTTACCAAGAATGGTGCAGTTAAACTTCCCAGCCCCGCTTACCATGTTCAATTAATCCCTAAAGGCATAAGGGAAAAAAGAAGAAATGAGATTCTCTCAAAATGCAATGAGGACAGAAATTTCAAAAAGAACTAAAATAAGACTAAACTATGGAATCATTCAGCTAAAATAATATATTTAAGTTATTTTTAATTAACTGAAACACTAGCACCATTATGTTAAAAATCTAGTCCAATCTGATCATTAATATAATATGGTTCATGCATTATTAATTGATCAATTCAGCAAACATTCATCAAACGCCTATTATGATCAAGAGGTACATTAGGAACCAGGGAGAATGCATATTTGCATATAAAATGTAGAGAACTTGTTCTCCATATAATACCTACATGATTTGAGTGAAACTTTTGAAGAAAATCCATCTTCTAAGGGAATAAAAGCTCAGTAGCTCTTTTTTTTTATTGAAATGAAAATAGTACAAATTGTAAACTAAATGCAATGATCATGCTCTTTGCAAATTGTTGGTGTCCAATGATGAAACACACAACACCATACTCTCAGACTATTCAGAATTAGCTAAAAAGTTTCATCCAAAAAAAAAGTGTGGAAATAAGGTGAACTCCACAAATCTGTGACTTAAACATAATGGATATCTAAAAGAAAAAGCCAGCTGATCATGAATCCATTTTTTTTTTTTAATAAGACATCTAACTTAAAGACACTGGTACGTTACTGTCTGGTTTCTTCAAGATGGAACTTTGGAGAAAGATTTTAAATTCAACACTCCAGTGTAATTTTCAGCTCAATTTGTCTAACTTCTCTTTAAAGAACCAAAGTTGGGAAACCATCAAAATAAAATAAATACATGACTAAGTCCTAACCTGAAGCCTCCCCCTCTCACCCCGAATATCTAGAAATGATACACAATAGTTTTATTCAAATGCAGAACCATGTTGGAAAACCAGAAGGCGTACTGTTAAGGGGTAAGATACAATGAGGAACCCCTGAACATGAGAAGGCAGAAGAACAGGATTTAAAAAAACCAGTAAAACCCCAAACTGACACATAAGTATTCGCTGCACAAAATTGAGAAGCTCTGGGTGGACCTAAAACAAGAGGGAAGGATTGCAGGACCGAATCGGGTCCCACTAGGTCAAGCCGCCAGGTGAGAGGGTAAGGAAAAGAGTTGAAGCAACAAGAGGAATAAGCTTCCCAGCACCCACCCACCCTCCCACCCCGGCTCGACATCCAACAGCTGTAGCTACCTCCAAGTAGGAGCAATGAGTGTGGGAACTTCACAGTAGAAAAACAGTTATGCTAGGTGCTGGTGCTCACCCTACAAATGTGGTGAACAACAATGTAGAAAAGGACATTTGAGTCACAAAAACAAATCACCAGAGATTGCAGAAATTAAAAATCGATGGTTGAAAGGGAAAAATTCAGTAGTTGGAGAAATAGCTGAAGAGCAAAGTAGTGAGTAAACTGATTCTCCCATAATGCAGCACAAAAGGACAAGAAGATATGAAGATGGAAAGTAGGGAAGAAAGACGGCATGGTATGGAGGGTGGAGGCGGAAGTGCAAATGTCCCTCCAGCGTGAATTCCTCAATGAAAGAATCAATGAAAAGAATGCACAGAGCAAATCAATAAGAAAATTTCTGCCAAACTGGAGACATGAGCCCTCACATTGAAAGGGCATTCCTCACACCGAACAGAATTAAAAATAAAAAAATTTTAAACGTCACATCTAGTTACATTGTGGTGAAATTTAAGACTAGCACAGATATAAAGTAAATCCTCAAAAGTTTCTAGAGTAAAAGGGAAAAAAAAAGCACAGGTTAACTGGCAACAAGCAAGCATCAGACCGGCCTCAGAATTCTCATCAGCAATACTGAACACGAAAAGAATGGAGTACGATACTTGCAAAGTCCTAAGAGCTTTAAGCCTAGAGACTTTTACTCTGCCAATACCACTGAGAAGAAAAAATACAGGCCAATTTTCCACCTCTGAGAGTTTATTTTTTAAAATTTCTCTGAAAGAAATATTAGAAGATATACTCTAGCAAAAAGAAAAAAAAACACTCCAAGAAGATGTGGCAGGACACAAAAGTCAAAGATAAATGAAGAAATTGGTAATCTTCAAAGAAAGCTGATAATAATCTAAAAATAAAATCTCAGATGATAGCAATCTGAGAGCTGAGAGGAAGAAGTAAAGGGAGGGAAAGTATCTTTTCTTGCCTTCTCGGGGGTTATATTTAGACATCTGGGGAAAATATATGTTTAAATAAGTGCAGAAAATATTTTTGCTTTATATATATATTTTTGAAAAACCAGAAACATAATTTACAACTTTCGGACAATTAAGAAAGAAAAAATACAAAGAGCACTATCAATGAAAGAAAGCGAAAGAAAAACAAAAACTCTACAGAAAAATAGAGGCTATAAACAGGCAACTCACTGAAGCATAAACACAATCCAATAAACATATAAAATACTCCATAGTAATCAGGTAAATGCAACTCAGAAACAATGACATAGTAGTTCTTAAAAAGACAAAAACTGAGAAGTTTGCTAATAGCAAAGTATACCTTGTTGGATTGCTATAAACTGATAGAACCATTTTTTGATATACAAACCATATACACCAAAAATTCTGTTTCCTCCTGTGTATTCTAGAAAAGGCTTTGTACTTGTACATATACACAAAGCACATGAATAAGGATGCTTACTGAAACATTTTTATAGTTATGAAAAAAGGGAAGTAAGCAAAATGCCCATCAACATGGACCATTTAATGTAATTGAGACATATTCTACCATGAATACCATGCAATGGTTAAAAAGAATATGATAGATTTATGACTATTGACCTGAAATGCCCATTAGCGAGAAAAAGACAATATAGGAATATTGAAATATAGAAATTTATTTTTGCAACAAAATGTCTCTATATTATTTATGCAATTATAAATAAGAAAAAAACACTGTTAAAGAAACTAAAAATTAACAGAGAAAGAACAAAACAATTTAAGAACAGGAAAGAGACAGAAAAATAAGTCTATCAATTGGCCTGGCACATTCTTCTACAATGTTGCTTTTGGAAAAGCATCATTAACATTGAAATGAATTGTGAATGCTACCATGAACGGAACCATTCAGTCCTAATCTGTCAATCAAACCCATGCCCTCCTGACAGTGGATTCAAAATCTCACTCTCATACACACACACAATTCATTGACTAATTTGTAGGAGACATAAATCAAAAATAACTGAAAATTGACAAATTGATTATGAAAAATGAGGACCAGCTCACTCCCTGCACTTCCCCTCCCCCAACCACAATGGCTACCAACAACACGGAAAGTGGGCTGTGTTACTGGAAGGCTGCCAAGACAATACGACCAAAAATTAAAATTGAAAAAATAGAATTGGTTTCAGGCAAGGGCAAAGCAGACATCTATTAAAAGGCAGTTTGTGAAATCAGAGCAGGAGTCAGATGCTTTCACTCTTTTCCTCTCAGTGGTTGCTAAGCCAATGTGGCCACAGCAGCCGTGAGGATTTGGGAGCTGGCCAAAAGGCCAGGTGACTCAACTTTGGATTTCTTGTCCCTCTAGGCAATGTCTCTCAGCGGGGCAAATTTGTACTAGAACAGAGCACAGTTACCCTCTCATCAATCCGGAAAAAATATATACTAAAAGTTTTTTTCTTTGTAAGTGCTAGCTAGCAAAGAAAGCTGAAGGAAGCTGGCAAAAGAACAAAGCCTTATCCCCCCCCCCATTATGAAACCAAAGGGCTCTGTTTGTGACACAAAAATCTGTGGGAAGGGTGATGGCTGTCTTCTAAGTCCCTTCAGGGTAAGAAACAAACACTTATCTTTATTTTTATTACACTCTGACTAGGTGTGAGCAGCAGCTATATTTCTCTTAAACAAAAATAGACCTCAAATAAGAGAGTCTTCCAAACCAAAGAGCCTGCTGTTTGTGGTTAATACACAAGTTCATCAAGGACAAAGAACCAGGTGTTACATGGCTGTCTGTTGTGGCACCAACCACTAGGCCACAAGACCAAACTGGTTGTCCGCGGCTTGTTAGCTGGTTGACTAACTGATTCACATTTCAAAGGAGGAATAACGTGGGTATGTGGGTATCACAGAGGTATGTCACCGAAGAATAGTAAAATCCTAAGCAGAACACTTTGATTTCCCTTCCTCGTAACTCACTAGCACTCGTGTGAGCTCTGGTTTTGCCATGCGGTGGTGCCCTTTTTAAATGCTAGAGATGAAAACGCTGAAGAGAGGAGTAGGGGACGATGGTAAGTTAGGAGATCTTAAACCCAGACGTGGGGAGAAGCACGTGGCAGGGCAGACCGAGGGCACCCCATTAAGAGACACGGACATCTGGCAGGAAGACAAGTGTAAGGGAAAGTGCTGGATTGAATCGCATCTGCTCGTGCCGCCAGGGCACTTCCGTCCTCCTGAGATCCTTGGCCTGGGTGCCAATCAAGTGCCACACTCTTAGCAGATATTGTTTGGATGGATGGATGGATGATGGATAAACAAACAAACGAACAAACAAAGGAATAAACAGTATGCTTTTTTTCCTCTATGCACGTTAGAGTCACCCATTCCAAATTAATATTCTACTTGCAAAGAATACCCAGCAAAGTTGCTCCCAGCCGATTTCCCCACACTGCACACAAATGTTGTCTGGTTCACTGGAGACATCGACAGCGTGCCATATAAAATCTGGGTAGTGGTAATCTTCCCAGACTCTTTACCACACCGAGGCAATGAGAATAATTAATAGCAACTAGAACTCATTGATTTAAAAATAAATTACCACAATTGGGTATCTGCAGATTTGCCAGGGGAATATTCTTGCTGCTTTCATTCAGGCAGTACAAATCCTGAGGTTCTGGACTGGATTTACTCTCATGGAAAGCCTTGATCCACATAATGTCACAGGTGCATGTAAATGGATTGCCCGCCAGGATCCTACACGGAACAAAAATGCAAACGGATCAGTCTCCTTTCTTAGTTTTAGCTACGCTAGTATTTATCAGATACCACACTACGAATTCTTTCTAGCCAGCAACCTTTGAAAGCCATACCACTTTCGTAGCCTGACAGTACTTACTATTCATTTATTTATCTGATACTTACCGAGCTTCTGTTGTGTGCAAACACCACAGGGAGACCATACAGAACAACAGGGGAAACAAGATAGGAACAGAAGTAGCCAAAATATGGGATAGAAAAGACTGTCTCACAACATGGGGCAAACAGGTGCCACAACAAATTTATCATGGGTATTACATAGTCATTAAGAAGATCTTCAGTGGAGACGCTGACAAGTTTTCTGGAACGCTAGCATGCTCATTTCTGACCAGGCTAGGGAGGCTCAATTGCTTTCATTTAATAAGCGCAAACGTCAGTGGGGGCAGAAAAAAATTTCATCTCAATCTGAAGCAAAGATTAAAGCGTGAGTGCCAGGGGGTTCGCACCCCCAGCTGGCTGCATTATATGCAACCAGTCCATCTTATTGAGGCAGGAAAGTGGGAGGGCACAGGAGAGAGAGAACCCAGAAGGGAGCTGCAGACCTCCTTCGCGTGCACGCGCGCACACATCCGCACATGCGCACACACGAGCTCGGGGATTTTGGGGGGCAAGGCAGTTGAGCTGCCCAGCCCACTGCGGGAAGGTCTACGAAAAGAAAGCCACCACCATTCAGACCTCAGTCATGCTGCCTGAACGCCTGTGGCCTGCTATGGGTAAAAGAGGAAATAGTGAGGAGGAATATAAAAACCACAAGGAAAAAAAAATCTTTAAATGCTTATTTATAATACTCTGTGGCCTATTTAAGATGAATTCCATTTATGGTAATGAGCCTTTAAATAAGGCCATTTAAAATCGTTACATAGACTCTGCCTGGCATTAACCACAATGCTTAAGACTTCTGGGAGGACAGGACCGGGGCTTTGGCAACATCATTTACTCCTGTGGTTTTCTGCTTGGGTTCTAAGAATCTCAGGGATCCCTGGAGACTCTTCCAGGAGTTTCTCTGGGGAAAATGGGGTCATCATAGACCTGTTTATGTCTGCTCGATTGCCTCCAAGCATCCCTCCAACACCAAAGTAGGATTTGACGCTATGAGATATGGAATATAATGCAGACGAGACCCACCACCAGTTTAAATCCCGCTAATCCAATATGTTTCTTGGAGTCTGAGTGCATGAAAACTGAAAGGGTCTTTCTAAAAAGAAGGTACAATTAAAGCAGCAGAGGTGGTAAAGAAGTGGAGGGATGTTTCAGCTGTGAATAAAATGATGTTCCAATGACCATACAACACTAGCAGACAGCTATCGTCTCCTCCGGCTAACTGTGCAAACTCCTTTTGCAATGGTTATTACAGCACATCACACTTATCTGTTTAGGTGTCTACCTCTCCCAGCGGATGATAGAATCCTAGAACATAGAAACTTTTCTCCTGACATCCCCATGGCTTAGTGCCATGTCAGTTTGATTTATAACAGGTACACAATTAACATTTGTTGAATGAATTGATTAGACATGCTGCAGGGAGAATATTAAGACATAAATTGGAAATTAAAACTATAATTTTTAATCCATCAAGAAAATTTTATGCAATGATGCCCTGAATGTCTCCACCAAATACCTTATTCTATTTCCCATACCTTCCTTTAGTTTGTCCTGCCCTATTCCTGTGTTAGAAACACTAGTGATTCAACTCCCTGAATTAAGTTTATTGCACATAATTGCCAACTGCCACGACTTTCACCTGTAACCCCCATTACCACCTATTAACTTGTGTCTCTCCACGAGTGGCATCTTCCAGTCTATACAATTTTCTTGTGAATAGGGATGGATCTTCACAAAAAGACTCCATAATTCAGGCAACATACAGTTTAAGCAAAAGCCATTGCCTGATATTAAAGGCCTTGTCCTTTTGGGCCCACATCTGCTCTGCAAAGCCTCTGCATTAGGGCTCTTTGGGGTACCTTACCATAGGAATGACAAAAGTTCATATTTGCTTCATGATGTTAACACAAAGAGTTGAGCACACTTGGAAATGCTAGCTATAAATCATGAACACATTTCAATATTTTTTCTTACCATTTTGCAGCAGAGGGATTAGGACATAAGATAAATAGTGAATGCAATGGCAGACTTAGAAGAAAATCTCCCAAAGATGGGTGGCTGGGGAGAAGGACTACCTCTCCTCCATTGCTCCCTTTCCCCAGGATGGACAAAAGCAGGGAGAGTTTTTCCTGTCAGTATCTCCCCCTTGAATGGTTTGCTTGGCTTTAGGTCCTGGACCCAACAGGAACCAAATAGATACCATGAGCTATGTAGCCATTTTAACACAAAGCCCCCTTCTTTTTCTCTTTTTCTATTAGAAAACAAATTATTTATGTAAAAACAACACTTAAACTAAGCATTAATGATATGTTACTACTGAGAATTCTACTTCTTTTAATTACTGAACATGTTTTCATGAGGGAATAAAAAAACCAAGAGACCCAAACTTGAGAAATCATTTTTCCAGAATTTTGATATAAAAATAGATCTGCGACATCACTCACTTAAAAAAAATACTTAATTACCCTTTCCTTTGAAAACTTTTCCCCAAATGCCACACAAAATCATTACTTACAGCTCAGACAAGTCAAGGTGACGGAAATGTTTCCTAGACAAACTCGTCAGTTTATTTCGGGTAAAATTGCTGAAAGGAATCAAAAACATTAAGAGTGAATTTAAAATGTTACATTTTAGGAACAAAGTATTCAAATAGAGATTTTGTTTTCAAAATATAATTTATTTGATCATTATGCATGCTTTACTTAGATCCCATTATCTCTTTCTTTCACCTGGAGTGATTGCTTAGTTTTGCCTACTGTTCTTGCCTTTGGGGGAAGGGGAACATATTTTCCATTTGTCTATTTTTAGTCTCTTTTTTACCTAAAAGCTTGCTTTTCACTTACTAATTCAGAGCCAAGTTATATATCTCCTACAGATCCAAACCTTTGAAACAATTAATAGGAGGATATGTAAAATAAGATATAATTTGAACCTATACTCAGTAGGGCAAAAAGATGTTTTAAAGCTAAACAGCATCATGAGTATTTTGAAATTATGTGGCACACAAAACCTAAGTATCAAATGAATTTAATATGTGTTTATGGGAAAGAACATTTATCGATGGAAAAACTCTGCTGAGATTGTTTACATATGCTGAGATAACTAGATAATTTCATAATAAGAACAACACAAAATCAGATAACAAGGAATAAGTCAGATTTTATCTTGAACTATTCTAGTAACATACCATCTTGAGATTTGGACCAGCCAGACAATGAAAGAACATATTTGTGATCAAAAGAGAATAATGAATTTACTGACACATTCTAAATATGTAGTTTTACTCAATGAATGGGAATTTCCAATGATCAGTGCCATGAGATTTTGGGGTGGGGAATTCAGAGCCATAATCCTGGCAACTGACTCTCTCTGTGAATTTGTTTATTGTTTGAATTGATTTAAAGAGTGTCCAATGCTCGGGCCTCAAGACATGTGTTTGATAAGTAACATGAATGTAAAAACAAACATCGACTTTCACAAACACGGCCAAGACCTCAACAAACCAGGAGAACCCGATGAACTTTTCAGTGTGCTTCCTGCCTGGGAAAGCAAGTGTTGAGCTGAGATTATAGACTGGAGGGTGACAGTGATCCCGGTCCCTTACCTGAGGCTAGTCTGTGGTGTCAGCCCATTGAAACTATCACTGAAGTTTCCTGGTGTGTCTGACCAGTCATCTTTGGAGAAGGGTCAACACCCAAGAGCTGACGCATGGGCTATGGCTGGTCAGCTGGCGAATGAAGAACACCCCGCTCTGGCATCTCATAACTCAAGAATGTGTGTGTCCACTCCCGGCTTAATGCTATTTTGAGATTTCCACTCATCCAAACCCCTACCTACACAGGGTACCCTTCTTCCTTCTACACTTGCATCTTCTCTCTTCATACCAGTGTAAAGTGCTCACCCACATGAAAAAACAACCCACCAGGAAGTTGTAAAATGTGCCCACATAAATGTCTTCTTTTGGAATGCAAATTAAGAATGGGTTTCACTGGTGTATAATGCATTGAAAAGTCATTCTGCTTATATATGCCACAGTCTTTAAGGCAAAAATGTTTTCATCTTCATCAGAGAGTCCTACCTTTCTTAAAAAAAAAAGCACAACACAACAACAAAAAACCCTGCTCTTCCTCCCGAAGAAAAGAGAGAGAAGCAGCAAAGAAAGAGGAAACTTTCTGTAAAGGTTTTCCCTGTCAGCTGGGAAAATGCGGCCCTGGGAGCCCGGCCCAAGGGGCTGCCGTCAGCACACACAGAGCAGGGGTACGGGCCAAAGAACAGGATGAGTCTTATGAACCATACTTATTATTGGAGCCAAAAGCCAAAAAGAAGGAAGAGGGGATGAAAAAAAAATCAACAATCCTCTTACTGTTTGATTCTAGAGCTTTGCAAAGGAGCTAATTAGCACCTCTGCAAAGCCTCTGGAAAACACAAATACCGCTTTTCTCACAGTCCCTGGGTTCTTAGGGGCTGGGCAAGAATTAAAGGCACCAAGAAATAAACTCAGTGACCAGTCACTGGGCTCTGGGCAGTCTCCACCTGATGCTAATACGGACAGGGGAGGGGGAGGAGTGGTGAGAGTGACATCTGATTTGAATTCCCTAAAAACCCTAAGTGATATAAACTGATCTTGTACACATTTTTATAATGTTGGGAAACTCAAAGAGATAATCAGTATTACTATAACCCAGAGTAAAGAGAAACAGCTTTTATTGCTCATTTCTTTATCAGCCCCCTTGCACCCCACCGTGTTGACATTTGATGAAGGAGTGCAATTTACATGTGGACACTCAGGACAGAGTGAGCCAAGCCAGTCCCCAGGTCCTCATCACAAGCAGAGGTTAGGTCTAAGATCTGCAAAGGCAGACACCTGAATAAATTCTTCCTCCTTCCCTGTCCTTCTCAAAAGCAAACTACTTAATTTCATATTTTAGCAATCAAGAGCCTCCTTCATCATGTGAATGTATAAAGCTTACTGACATATGACAAATTCTTGGTAACTGCCTGACACTTGCCTAATTCTGCTGTCTTACTATTCAATAATGGCTACAGATATCAATAGAGTTTCTGCAGTTTGATCACTGATTGATATCCCAATTATTGCCTCCTAAGGAAACCATATATGTATATCTCTTTAGTTTCCTGTTTTCAAATAATACCTCTCTGGAAGACTGGGACAGATATGTGGCCTTATATAAGCTGTGTACTGTACAAAGAATGCCACCAAAATTATCTTAGCACATATCACCATGAAAACAATATACAAAGTGGCTTTCATACTCATATAAATAGCATGCAACAAAAAAAAATTAAGAAGCGTAGTAAAGTAATAAATAAGTACACTAATAAAACTGCAATTAACCATAGCCCACTGTCCAAATCACAGCATTGAGAGAAAGATAAGCTGAAAAGGCCAGTAAAATGTGTGTGTTGAGTAATTTGGGTCTAAGGTCAGCTGTAATGAAAATACCAGAACTTAACCATTGAGGTCATTAATTACATTTAAGTGATTGCATTAGAGCATTCTGCCTTTTTCTTCTATCCAACTTCTCTCTTGTTTATGCTATCAAGGCCTACGCAGACATCAGATTTTTGCAGGCAAACCAACTGCAGAGATGATGCCAAAAAGCATTTAAGTGAAATGTGTTAATAAAGTTTCTTGGAGTTTTATCACATTTTTGCAGAATGTTTTATATCTTAATTTGAAGGCTTTATTTTTAAAGTGACTCCATCATTAATGCCACCTATAAAGCATGAAGCCACAATATTGGCTTCATGAAATTAACATTTTCCATCATATCAACAAATCTCAACAGAGTGTCCAGGTGATCTGCTCTACAAGAATGATTTCTTTTATAACTGGCATGGAAATCAGCCAAGGAACTGTTCTCCCCAAGAAAAGAAAAACGACGAATGTTAGAAGAAAGGCTGATTCTCTAATGATACGGATGGTACAAATTTTATTTCCTGTATTCAGATTGTAAAATCCTGGAGAAGGGTTAGCCTTGCAGTCTTGATTCTGCCACTCATGTTCTGTGGACCTGAGCAAGTCCTAGAGCTTCCTCACTCTTATTTTATGTATGAAATGGGAATAAAAAAAGATCTTCCCTACCACTTGTCAGAAAAAAAAAAAAAATCAACTGAGATAATGCAGGTGAGAGTCCCATGGGTAAACTGTGGACTATGAGACCTGTGAGGTGTTGTTCCAAAGAGAATCTAGTACAGAAAAAAAAAGGGCCAATGAGTGCAAGAAACAACCTTCGGGAAGAAGCTCTCACTGAAAACTCCAGGGGTGGGGAGCACCAATCCCTAATGGCTGCCATTTTCCATATTTCCATTTGACTTCACTGGACAAAGCATTAACATGACTTTGAGAAAAACATTTCCTATTTTTAATAATTGTCTGAACCTTTGGCGTGACCCCATGATTGATTTTTCTCCGCTTTTTCTCCACACAGAAAACTCTGAGAAAATAAAGGTTCAAAAGAGGACCTATTTGGGGGTGGGGTGGGGGAAGCACAAGTAATTTTTAGTTTTCTACGAAGGCCAAGGCCAAGTCAACTTCTTTCAGTTCCACTAGTTTGATGTCTTCCAGGGAGCATGTCATGATTCCAAGGAAAAGAACCAAGGACTCTGTACAAGGACATAGTTTTCACATCAGACTCCTTGCTGCTGGCCTATTGCTCTATCCAAGATGGAACTGGCCCAGAAATTCATGAAAGGGAATAAACAGCCTGTTCTAAGTACCCCTCTAAAGCTATTCAGAAATCAAACAAAATCAAAGCTAATGTTTCTAAGCTATTATCACAGCTATACTAACTTTAAAAAAGGAGGTTTAGAGTTAGGAAAAAAGGAAAATAAACAGAGGGGGAAATACTGAATAAATTGGGTCCTGGGAAGAAAAAGAATCAACTTCTACTTACACGTACTGCAGGTTGCTGTTTTTGAGAAATGCTTTATGAGCCACAAATTTTAATCCAGAATCCACAATGGTCCTATAAAAATACATAAATTGCACGCACATTAGAACTAACCAGTGAATGCCCACCCGACCATAGTAGAGAATAAGAAAAATCTCGGTGATAATGTGCACAGGAACTGGGTACTCACAGATTTTTTAGTCCCACGTAATCTTCAACATCATCTTCATTGATGATTTCTAACCTTTTCTGATTTGCAATGAAACTGCAACAAAGCAGAGAGAGAACACCAGTGACTCAGAATGTAGGCAATAACATGAAGAAGGGGTAACTTCCATCCATCCTCACCATGGTGACCCAAGTTTCCTCCCCACCCCCACCCCCCACACCTATCCTAGCATCATCTTCTGTTTTTAAATACAGCAAGGGGTGCAAAACTGAGCATAACTGAGAAGAAACCACGACTGACCCATTTAATGGCCAATGACCAATTCACCAGGTTTCAATTTTTTCCTCGCCTTTTATCACTTCACCTAACAAGTTCAGTTCTTCTTCCCCTTTCAGGGTATCACCAGTGTACAGAGGTGAAAATACCTTGGGAATGCATCGCCAACCTCTCAAAGGTGTTTCACCCTTATGGTGACAGCCACGGGGATGCTGGTGTTATCACTGAACGAGAAAAGTCATGTCTATCCTCACCTTCCAGGAGAAGCAGCCACCCCCTCCTATACCTCCCAAAACACTGAAGTACATTTCCCGTCCCCTCTCTCTCCCTCCATTCCTCCCCTTTCTCTCTTTTCCTGGCCTAGCATCCACTCCTTCCACCGTTGTCAGTAACAATACCAATTTCTCCTTTGAGGAACACATTTCATAAACCCTACGTAGCCCTAGTGCATTCTCTGCAGGAACCCACTTCTCCCTCCACCCCGCAAACCCTCAAGTATAGGAGTGAACTGACAGAGAACTCCATCCCTTTGGTCACGAGGACAGGCTTAGAGATATGCATGGGACCTCAATTAGATCAAGGAGAATCCTTCCCAAGATAAGATTAAATAAATGAATGCTGGGAGAGAGAGAGAGTCTTGCTCTTTCTCCAGGATCACAGCTGAAGACACAGGCCCAGGGTTTCCACTGGGAAATTTTCTGCAAAGAGACTGTCCAAGAATGAAGTCAGCATTCAGAAAGAAAGAGAACTAAACAGATATAGAGATAAACAGATAAAGAGACAAAACCCTAAAAATACCACTTGAGCCTTTGGATCCAGCCATCTCTGAAGTGAGATGTCACTAACCTGAGTTTGTTCTGGATTTTTGTCACTTCTAATCAATAAAGTTCCTGGTAATACAAACCCATGGCTATTAAAATCACCATCATGGAATTTCCTATACTCTACCTTGTACGACAGTTATTTACATACCTATCTATTCACTTTTCTTAATCATAACTTCTTTGGAGGTAGTTAGATCTGTTGTATAACTCTTAATATGCATCACAACACCTAGCTCAGTACCTTGCATAGGATACTCCAAGGATGGATGGATGGATGGACGGACAGACAGATGAACACCACTTGGGGTTACAAAGGCACTATAGGAAGTTATGCCAGGATGAATTTCCCCCTTTCTTTTCAAAAAAGTTTAAGATAAATAACATATTCCAATTAAGACACTGAAAACAAATATGTGGCCCTGCTATTAACACAAGTTAAAATGAAAAACATATTAAACAATGGGGGGAGGGAATATATTTAGCATCTAAAGGTCCCTGTTACCTGTAGGGGAAAGAAAATGATGACAAGATGTGCAGTAAGGGTGTGGCTACCTCTTTAGAAAAAAAAATTTGTTTTTTAATTAAAATATAAGTAGATTTTCTGAGCCAACAAAATTACACCAGAAAAATGATTTTTAAAGGATGAATACAAATACTGTCCCCCTGTTATATAAAAAAAGCAGCCTCCAAGATAGAAAGACAGATTCCTCTCAAAAATCTTGGTTCTGCTTGATACCCAGGGCCTGGCACTTAATAGACGTACAGGAAGTTTCATTCCCTTCACTCTCCCGCCACACACAGAAAAAGGAAACAGGTCAAGACTCGAACTGAAAGCTCAATTTTCAACAGCAAGTTTTTATGAAATGTTTTAAAATTATCACACTTTAGATATATTTTTCCAAGATTTCCATTCCACTAACATATTCAATAGAGATCACAGTGACCTCACTCGTCTAAATGATCTCACAATAAGAACTGCATTCCAGAGAGCCCTAAATTGCACCACTGTGTTCATGCAACTGACAGCAAAAAGGATAGATAGCATGTGCAAGTTCCTTTCGAGTCACAGATTCGGATTTCTGTCCACTCCTTCCAGCTGAGTTAGCTGGAAGGTGCCTGCCCTGTTCTGAAATCACCTGAGAGTTCTTCATCTCTCTGTACCTGCATCATTGTTGTTTCCTCCCTGCTTCCAAGGCCTGACACTCGATAGGTACTTAATCAACATCTGTGGCCCAAAGCATTTATCTTTACCTTTTCTTTATTTATGTCGGTTATTTTATTTTTATTGCATTTTCATCAGATTTTAATTTACAAACTTGGTCAGTGGTTAAATTCACAGTATTCATGAGATGAAAATAAGCAAAGCACCACTGTCCTTGGATATAAGGCCAGACAGGAGATTTTGCTGGAACCCATCACGAGGACCATGTGAAATTATGGAACACATTCACTAGAGAATACTCTTCCACTGTGAAGGATAAATAAGTAAATTTTTGTCCTTGTCAAAATGGAAAGACCAACAGAAGAGCTGGATTAAAAGGTCAGCAAGTGTTCCTCCAGTAACCAACTCCAAGAATTCCCCCTTGTAAACTACCATCTGCAGAGATGCCCACAGTGGAGATGCTGGCTTCCAACTGCTGGGGAAATCCACCCCCAGGACGTTCTTCTTAGCTACCACTGCGTGAAGAACCCTGGGGTTGGAAAGGAAGCCAGTACAGTAACAGGCCATTCACAGAGGGGCACCTCAATGGCCAGGAAGTATGTGAAAAGTTGCTCATCTCACAAGGAATCCGAAATGCAAATTAAAACAACAACAACATACTATCCTTCTCCCATTCGATTGACAAACTACTTAAAATGTGACAATATAAAGCATTGCTAAAGATGTAGGGAATTTCTCTTACATTGTACAGAGCAAAAATTGATACAACCACTTTTGAAGAGTACTTTGTCAGTATCCTGGAAAATTATAATAAACCAGCACCCTTTGTGGCCGAGAAATTCTGCTTTTTTTTTTTTTTTTTAAGAGACATAGTCTTACTGTATCTGTCACCCAGGCTGGAGTGCAGTGACATGATCATAGCTCACTGTAACCTCAAACTCCTGGGCTCAAGCAATCCTCCTGCCTCAGCCTCCTGAGTAGTTAGGAGTACAGATGCAAGCCACTACGCACAGCTAATTTTTTTTCTATTTTTTTGTAGAGACGAAGTCTCACTGTGTTGCTCAGGCTGGTCTTGAACACCTGGCCTTGAGCAATCCTCCCACCTTGGCCTCTCAAAGTGCTGGGTTGACAGTTGTGAGTCACCATGCCCAGTCCACTTCTAAGTGTTCACCCAAGAGAAATTCTCACATATGGATACAAGGAAACAAGTACATAACAGTCATTAGAATACACTCAATAGAATATTGCAATAGTCACTTTAATAGTCAAAAGCTGGAAACAACTCAAGTGTCCATCATAAAGGAACAAAAATTTTTAAATAAAGGTGTGTCAAATATATGAATTAGATTGAATCTGATTTTATATATTTGAGTAAAAAGAGACCTCCATGCTAAGTGAGAAAGAATATAAGCAAAATTGTATACCGATATATACCTATAATATAAAACAATTTATGTGACCTTTTAAAAATACACAGAAAACAATACCACATAGTGTTCACAGTCAAATTTATATACAAAGTATAAAAAGATGATTTCTATGAAGGTTACTTTGGGCAAGGAGAATGGGTCTGGGATTATAAAAAGGAAATCTAAACTGTTAATCTGTTTATTTTACTAAATCTAAAGTATTTCTTTCATTGAAAGAGAAAAGACTTGCAACAAAAAAAGATAAAAATATTAAAACAGTTCTGCACATTGAAGTTATTGTGCTCATATACATTTTTGAATTTTTAAAATTTATGAAGAAAAAGAAAGGGGAGAGAGAGAGAGACAGAGAGAGAGAGAATGCCATACAAGTGAAATAACTGCCAGACTCCAGGCCTCCTCAGTGACTTAGTGGACAAACACACCTGAGCTCAGGTTCTTGGCTCCTTGAACCACTCAAATGGCAACCAGTCTGATAGCCTTTTGCTCTCTGCCCCGAGCCACTGGGTGAAGCAGAAGACTAAGGTGCATGCTGTGCTGCCCCCTACTGGTAGCTTCCACCTGCCTCCCGGAGGATCTTGGCAACAGCAGGCCTTCCCTGTTCTCCCCTGTTACTGCTGTTGATCCAAAAGGCAACGCCTGTAATCCTAGCACTCTGGGAGGCCAAGGCGGGTGGATTGCTCAAGGGCAGGAGTTCGAAACCAGCCTGAGCGAGACACCACTCCCCTCCCCCGTCTCTACTAAAAATAGAAGAAACTAATTGACCAACTAAAAAAAAATACATATATATATATATATACATATATATATATACACATATATATATGTATATATATAGAAAAAATTAGCCGGGCATGGTGGGGCATGCCTGTAGTCCCAGCTACTCGGGAAGCTGAGGCAGTAGGATCGCTTGAGCCCAGGAGATTGAGGTTGCTGTGAGCTAGGCTGACGCCATGGCACTCACTCTAGCCTGGGCAACAAAGTGAGACTCTGTCTCAAAAAAAAAAAAAAAAGGCAGCCACCTCTGCAGAGACCAAGGCAGGTTAGGAAGGAAAGAGGGAGAGCCCAGTGAGGGCCACCCACAGGCCACAAAGCAGGCTTTCCTTCAGAAAACCATTCCCCACGTCCCCATCAAAGTGCTGTGACACTCTGTGGGCTCTTTACCGAGTCCAGCTCTGCTTAATAAAACACATCTCCAAAAAGGGCTCCCTCATTCCCCAAGGAAGCAGTGGGAAGGCCCAGCATTTTGGCACAGGCCTTTGTCACAAGCTTTCTCTCCATGACAACCTCTCACTCCTCTGACCTATGCCCACTGCTGCAGAGAGCTCAGGCCCCAGGGGCTTTGAAGGCCAGCCCCTCCTCCCCTCCCGCTCAGAGCTCCTGTCTCGGCACTTGCCTCAGAGGAAT